AATACCAGCGGGGCTGCAGCAGTTACCATAAGCAGAGCCCTTGCACGTCTGCTGGCTGCGCGCACCACACAAGCGGTTCTTGCTGATTTTGAGACCCGCGGGGGAGGAAGTTGCGGCCGGGGCAGTGGAAGTGCGTGTGCTGGTGGTAGTCGCGCGAGTGCTAGTGCTGGTGGTGACGGGACGGGTGGATGTGGATACGGTAGTAGGTGCGGCGGTCGAAGGAGCCGCTGAAGAAGGAGCAGCGCTGGAAGGAGCCGGAGAACCAGAAGAACCAGCGCAGTTTCCGAAGAGCGCGTTGCAGCCCGTTCCACAGTAATCGGTTGTCTTACCGCAGAAGCCGTACTGAGAGCAGCACTCGCCGTCTGCGAAACCAACGCACGTGAAGCCAGATGTACCTCCACAGGATCCATCAGTCGTAGTAACAAGACCGCTGGGAGCAGATGTAGGAGCAGACGCAGATGAAGAAGCACCAGTAGCGGCTGGCTGAGAAGCACTGCCACTTCCAGATGAAGGGGCAGTACCATTGTTACCGCATTTTCCGAAACCGGCCTGGCAGCCTACTCCGCAGTGACCGTCGGTGTTTCCACAGAAGCCGTAGCGGGAGCAGCATTCGCCTTGGGCGAAGCCTGCGGGGATGTCAGTTGGGGGTGATTGTATATCCAAATTAAGAGGTCGTACCGAGGCAGGTGAAGCCAGATGTGCCTCCGCAGGTGGCATCTGTGGAAACGCCCGTAGGAGTGGCAGCAGGTGCAGCGGAACTGACGCTACCAGATGTGGGACCCGCGACAGGAGGGGTGAAGACAGACGTAGTGGCTACGCGACCGGAAGAAGCGTCTCGGTACCAGTTCGCCTGAGGCTCGCCCAAGCACTCGCCCAGAGTAACCAGCTTGTATCCCTTTGCCTTCATGGTCTCAATCATGTAGCCAGTCAGGTTCTTGGCGGTCTGCTCGTGGATGTCGTGTGCGATGGCCTGGAAAGCGTCCGTCTGGGGGTTGCTGGGGTCGATGGCCTTCTTAACGTTGTCCTTGGCGTTCTGGATCTTGTCCGGGGTTACGTTGTTGTAGTCGTCAGTGTCGAGGTCGAAGTATGAGACGACGTATCCTAGATCAGCGAGGTCCTTTTGGCATCCTGAGGCTGCAGTGCAAGAAGAGTAAGGCGGGCGCATGTAGGTGGGGAATTTTCCCATGATGTTGGCGAAGGCCATCTACAATTTGATTAGTACTTCCTTGAATGGTTCAGATTATAATATCATACCTCGTTCCTGACCATCTGGTCGTATCGCTGTTGGCTGGTGATGGCGCTAAGATCTTGATGCGACCATGTGTGACTGGCAACTTGATGTCCCTCGGCGATCATGCGCTTGATGGTAGCAGCCCACGGCTTGCTTGTGTCGTCAATTGCGCCCTTGTTGATGTTGACACCGGTGACGAAGAAAGTGGCCTTTGCTCCTGCAGCTTTGAACTGATCCAACACACCCTCAGTGTAGATGTAAGGACCGTCATCGTATGTGATGGCAATCGTGTTTGGCTCAGTGCAGTCGTAGATGCCCTCTCCACCGTATGGCTGGTTGCCGAGCTTGGGACGAGCAATGTTGCGAGTGCTGCCTCCAGTAGGGAGTTTGTTGGCATCACAGGCAGGGCCGTACTGGAACTGGCAGTCGGGTGCTTCACAGTAGTCACCTATGAAGATCAGCATTGGTCTGTCAAGTTGTACCCGAATACCTTACCTCCTTGACCACAGTAGCCTTCCACAGAGCAACAGTAGCCCTCGGCGCAGCTCGCACCGCCGTTGTTCGGTCCGCACCGACCATCAATACCACCTTGACGTGCCGTCAAACGTAGATTGGGCCCTGCAACGTGCGCCGCATGTCCACCAAGAATGTTCCTGCTCCTAAGTTGACCAATCTCTCGGGGTGCTAGACCAACAATCTTCGGTACAGGGAAGTCGCTGTGAGCCGCCACGAGGGGTGCGACCAGAGCCGCAGCGTATAGTCCAGTGTAGCGCATTATGATAACGTGACTATGAGTCTGCCCAAAATATAATTGAAGAATAAACGAGTGTAAGATCAAAAAGATCGACCGATATTAAGTCCGAACAAAAGGCAAAGACGACACTGTAAAGAGTGAACAGACGCCTTTTGACCTTTTCACAAAGTGAGCAAGGAAAAAAAGATAGACCAAGAGAAGCAACAAAGGGATGTGGGGGCGAATTCCATATAAGAGGCGAACTGAACTACCGCATGCCCAGACATTAGAAAAAGATGCCCACGACGCCCGTGGAGCGTGTAGTGTGCTTGGCTATGGGACGGGTCAGCCGCCGCGCGTGTCAGATTTGGTCGAGGCTGACACTGAGACTGCGATACAGGAGGTAGCCCGCTAGCGGAGAGTTAATAATGTAAGTCTTGACAGGGAGTGTGCTGTGTAGGAGGATGAGTAAGATGAGGTCTTTCATCGAGCCTGCGGGGGACATTCAGTCGCATGCGGGCTTCCACGGCTTCTGCCTTTCTCGGAATCCGGACATGATTCCAGCTCGCAACGCGCGTATGGCACAATGTCGCGAAGGAGCATGCAGGTGCTGTCTTCGCCTCGGAGGCTTTGTGGCGGTCATAAGCCAAGACATACCCCTGGGTCGTTGCCAAATCGGGCGTGTAGATCACGTTAGCGCCCGAGATTTCGCGTAGATAGATCCGTGGTCCTGGCCTTTGGGGACGGCCCAGATTCCGTCGCTCTACTCCAGACTCTTTAAATAACCCGGCGGGTTGCCTGACGAGAGACAGCTGGTACGTGGATGGCCTTGATCGCACGTGTAGCTCTTCTGAAGTCTCTGGATTGCAACGTGGCTCTCCACCGAATTTCCTGAGCGAATTCAGATCGACGCCGTGATGCTGACATGTGCGGCCTCGGTGCGATAATTTTCTCTGGGCACATCTGCAGCGGTCAATACTTCGGCGCCGTTGTCTCGAAACACGGTGTTGGGTTCGGATGAACTGATGCAGAGTTCCCGCGGTTTACCCAGCACTACTGATCAGTAACTGAGTTGCCACAGCTCTCCAAGGCGTCTGGCGGAAAGGCAAAAGCTAAAAGAATAGGCGTGCAGCTTTAGGCGAGGGGCCAACGGTTCGTTTCCTGAAGTTTGTCGCGGAATGAACTCTGTCGTATTTACCGTATTGCGCGGCGATAAAGGTGGTTACCTAGCGATGTTGCGCAAGGTATCCACGGATAGCTCTGATGTCATTACGCGATAACGAGATGATAGCCGAGAATGTCAGGTGCAGCTGAACCACACTCGCATTCTCATCTTCATCTTGTGGAAATGATGTGACTTTCTTCCTTCGCTTCCGGACTATCGACAAAAGCCATTGTTCTCGTTAAGCTTCGGGGCTGCCGTGACACTGTCACTGTGCTCGACAGCACGGACGTTGACACCAAACACCCTCGCGTGTTCACGTTACCTACGCCTTCCTCCACGTTTCGTACCCGTCAATATCGCGCGGAGAGCGCGTCTTCTACGTCTTCAGCGATTGGCTGCTACAGCACGTCGTCTGATGGTTTTATCGGAGCTTGGTTCAGTACAGACGCGCTCCAGAACAATTCTCCAAAGACTACGTAATCTTACTTACTCTGGGCCTTGGACAGCTTATCGACAGACACGCAACACCATCTCGAAAACGAAACCCAGTCCGATACCCAAGTTCGATATCAAGATACACCATCAACGTAAATCGGACGATACCCCGCGACAGACTACCCCGCGAAGACTCACTTTCCCCGGATCCGCAGCAGTCTCGTCATGTCGTTCGAGCGGCTCGTTCGGTATCGATGAACGATAGTAATCGGGACGCGCCAACGCACCAAGACCATGGCGCAGTATTCCAGTCTCAAAAATACATGATTTGCACAATCGACGCCTGGAATGAACACTTGGCAAGCCCATTGACATCGGCCCAATGCGATCACTTATACGACGAAGCAATCTCGACCGTCAACACTCCGCCAGCTGAGACCACGGGTGGCTATAATTCGCATCACATTCTACCAAACAATTCATCAAGGTTGAGCAGCCGCGCTGTTCTTTCGTAGCACTAGCGCAGCTTCCCAGTCCCGATTCTTGGCGGCTCCGCTGAGTACACAAGGAGTATGACATGGAAGCATCAGGCTTCGTGCCAGATAGCTTCAAGCATATGATGGGGAGCGAAATCAGGAGTCGATACGTTGCCAAGATGCTGTCGAGCCAGTATCTGGATTTCTACATGTGCTTACCCGTCACGATGAAGATGGGTGAGCGCGATATAGATACGTCCCTCTGATGAAAAGCAGGCAACTATTTGTCTACAGCGCCAAGATCTATAGGAACGGCGCATGAATAGCAAGTAAAGACCTTGTTGGCGAACGACTATAAATTTGTATACAGCACTGGCAAGTCAACCCGCCACGACAGAATGGAATGGCGCGAGATATACCGCAGGATGTCTCTTTGTACTACGGAATCGGATTCAATGTGGTGGGGTCTGATTGTACCAGCGCCTTACGGTCCATATGTGGGCGCAACAAGAGAGAGCGCAAAACCCCCTCCATCGACGATTCAACACTGGCAAGGACCCCCGCCATTACGTGATGCATCGGCGCGGGGCAGATTGAAGGAAGTCTCTTAACACTGCAGGCAACAAACTTCATACGAAGGTGTCTCTGTACCAGCGCCGGGAAGTTTGTTAATGGCGCACCAGGATCAAACACGGGAACCCGATTACATGTCAGGAATGTGAACCTGGATTTGCTACCAAGATACCGTGAAGAGGTGAGTGGCCATGTTATACTCTTGAAAAAAAGATTGGTATGAAGCAGTTCCATATAGCATGAAGTCTTCGGTGCAAGCAATAAGCCGCGCCGGTTTAAGAGGGCGACAGCGTTAACTAGTAGATACCTGGGTAAGTGCATCAGCACCTACACCATCGGGGGAACATATACAGATGTGAAGAAACTGATAAGACTAGCAGACCTCATATGGGTACGTGGACGTGGTGGCTAGGTATCTTGGAAGTGCCCGCACGTGATAGCGCGTCAACACCGCCACGTGCCGGGCTGCACCGCGATACCGGAGCTCTCTCACCTGCAACCTGCAACCTGCAACAGCATCAAGCAGCGCATACAAATACAATAACTCTCGCACATCTCCTCCATCCCTCCTTCAACCCACTACTTCCAACTTCTTCTTCTGCACCACCCGGGCATCATCTGCACAAGCTCTGACTAGTGTTGCAAAACCGCTGCCCAAGCGATACCACTTCAGCAACCTACAACACCAGACAATTCCTATCGCAAGCGGTGACGATCTCTTCAGACGCCGCCATGGCCGGAAATGGCGCGCAAGTCAGCGCGCCATCTCCAACACCAACAACAAGCTCACTTCATTCCATTGATGACCACGCGCCTTCCACACCCAGACATGACGCACCTACGGCATCTATTGATACCAGCCTCCCGTCGAACACTCCTGTTGAGCAGAGCATCGCGATTGAGCCCACAAAGCCTACCGCGCCTGCTCCCCTTGGAGTAGCGCAAGCGACAGCCCTTACACCATCCGCAGCTTACCCCACACCTGAGAACGCGGACAGAGGAAACAAGCGACATGACGCAGAGGTAAGTTCTGGCGCAATATTCGTAAACATATACTGACTTCGTAGGTGAAACACGGGATCGATGTCAAGTACCCAGTCGCAATGCAGTCATACGATCCCCAGGACATGTTCTTTGCGAAATCTCACATGAAGTCCTGGACAGAAGAACAGATGGCGAAAGAATATGACAGGCTGGCAGGAGCGTATATGGCACTCAGACACGAACACATCTCCGCCCTTGTCGACCAAGACAACAACGAGAAGAACGTACGCCGCCAGGTAGTCGACTCGCGCCAATCTCTCGCAAACGGAGCTCAGATGTTGCTGTGGAACTCCGAAGCAGCGTTCGAAGCATCGAAGGCGATTGCCGGAAGGATATGTCAACCATCCATCTGGACTGACCCGCAAACACATACTCAGTACACCGGGAAAGCACCAGGAACCTTTACACCACAAGAGGCACAGAATATCCTCAACCTGTACAAGGACGACTGCATCAAAGACTTGAAAGGTGTCGCACTGGCAGCTACCGGCGCGAACCTCGAAGAATTCGGCATCGACGAGACCATCGTTACGCAGGCGTACGATCTACCTGGCGATAGATCGTGGTTCGAGAAGATCAGTGACAATTGGAAGGACGCTGCCAGGGATGTACTGGTGGACAGCAGCATGACTCTCGACATCATCGAGGAAGCCCCACCCCGGCGCCAAGTGAGCTTCCCGTCGGCACACAATGAGCCCTCACCCTGAGACGTCCCCGTATCATTTCCAAACGATGCATCGAATGCCATGGGCGATGCGTCAAAGCAAGACAAGAACCGGGAGGGTGAGTAGACAGACGGCGCCAAAGTTGGGATGAATGTCGCGAGATATGTCAAGGACTTCGTTAGCTTAACGCGCCACATCTTAGTTGGGGGTCTGCGGAGTGATGCTCCATCTTGGAAGAATGCTAAAAAAAATACAATTGGCAGGCTGCTACATCGACGTTGCATCCGACAAGATTGCAGTTGTTGAACCCTCCTGCTGACTACATCAACTCCCATCATCCACGAAACCACTTCAGTAGAGCACTGTGTTGACTACATATAACGCTGACGTCGATAAGTTTACTATCGCAAGACTAGCCTGCCAACTACACAGGTGTTGAGGGGAAGGTCGCGCTACTCCGATCATAGCTGACGACCTCCTGGCTACCTTGGCAAGAAACTTCTAGCGACTGATAATGTAGCGAAGGCAGCAATACTACCTGGGTACCTCCTGATGTAACCAGCTTCTTCTATCCTTTGCATGGACAACGCCTGGCTCAAGACTGATCCTGTTGTTTCGAACCAAACAGTATTCCTACCAGCTGACAGTCACGGCACCATTACGCCTGGGAAGCCGATGAAGTCTGGTGCGCTGAATCCTCACCTGCGTGAAGCGTGCATCGACGCGGGCTATTCACAACGCAATTCAATGTATTCCTTTCGTCGAACACGTATTATCGAAACCAAACATGAACACGGAGAGGCAGCACATGCCGACGACTCGAACGCCCGCGAAAAATACGATACGGTCGACGTCGGTGACATCGATATCCAGTCCTACATACTAAGCAGAGAGTTGGAATCAAGGCTCTGCATATGCGACACGAGCGAGCTTAAGAAAATACTAACTTCAGCTGTTTGCAGATGAGCCGGCGAGACGTAAGGGAGATGTTTAAGCAGGCAGCTCAGACAGGATACGTACAGCATGAGAACTACGAGATCATGCTTCGCGCTGAGGTCGTAGAGTCGTGGCATGAATGCGAGCGAGAACACCCCGAGTTCGTCGAAATAGCCCAATCCGTCAAGGCAACGATCGACGACACGCGCGAGTCTCTGCGCAACAGCGTCGATGATACACCCGTACCGTGAGGATGCACCGGCAGTGTCACTGGCGCTTACAAGGTCGCGTCGAGGGATGGAAACTATGCAGCTGGAGTCGTCCTCAAGGAGCTTGAGACTGTCTTCTACAAGCGACAGCTGGTACTAAACAAGGTTCGCAGGAGCATACGGAACGCTATACTGGAAGAGCTTGCTCAAGAAATGCGATCTTTGCTGAAAACGTCCACTAAATCAACAACTTCAAGGCTGACCACCGGTAAGGGTGGCGCACCAAAACCGATCCGCAAAGAGGCCAAAGATGCCCAAGCCGAGCTTTAGGGTCTCCACAGTGAGCGCATGAGCGCTATCGAGGCCTTGAGACGGCGCAACGAACAGGATGAAATGACCGAGCCAGGTGTTCATCAGGAAGGGGGACTGGACGTGTATTCGCTCGAGGAAAATGACGACAAGCAACACCCGCGGGTTGAGCCGTTGCATTGGCAAGATTTACCGAAGGAGGACATCCAGGTGAACATTGCCGATGGGGTCGAGGAATACGGTGCGGCTACAAGAGAAGAACGCCTAGCCCTCCTTCGGGCTTTCAGTGCGTATACAGGTCAGGCCACCTCTGTGTCGAAGTGTTGGCTCTGCCGGTTCGATCGAACCATGCCGCAGGCCGCCAAAGATAAGAGATGGCGCCGTGCGCAACTCGAGAAACATATGAAGGGAAAGGTACACACACGTCGCAAAGAGCTCATAAGAGCGTTCAACGAGTTGAAGAATGCCGGATGCACTGGGAGCGCGACATGTCCCTTGTGCCTAGGCTGGTCATACAAGACCGCAGCTAAGTGGCTAGTTCACCTTAAGCGTCATCATCAAGAGGAGCTGTGGTTGAAGGAGGAGGTGAGGAGGAGGTAGAGAACGACGGCGATGAGGATTCTGGTTTTGAGAACTTGTGAGAGTGTTCTAGTCAGTAGTATGTCGAATGGAGATCGTATGGCCATAAGATACAATGTGGTGCTTGCGAATGCGACGGCCTCACTACTCGGTCATATCACCAGAACGAGCGCAGTGCATTGACGATATCATTTACCATATTCCGCCACCTGCTGCTGTCTTCTCTTTCTTCATCTACATTGACACAGTTCGCACATTCTCGCGCTGGAGTCACCACATCTGGCGCCTCGATATGTCTGCATAACCAAGACTTCGTGCTGATCTGCGATTTCTTTCCGTGCCTTGCCTGGCCGTTGCTACACTTCGCGATGAAAACACTCAGCTGGGAGTGTTGATACCTAGGTATACTCACGCAGTAAGTATATCTCTTCACATATCTATCCCCTCTATCTGTGGATGTTTCTTGCATTCAAGGTCTGCAAGGAATAGCGCTAAACAAGATAGCGTGGCGCAGCTACGTAGACAAATGGATTGATGTTGCATCACTATTCTACTTGTTCTGGAGGCAGCGAAAAACATGAAGTTCTGCTTCGAAGCAGAGCCAACCCGTAATTTGCGTCATTAGCCTCTCGGGCTTGCTTATGTTCGTTCTTCACAGGCTCGTGCGCAAGCCTTTTCGGCGCTGGAATAATTAAGCATAGCGCGCTTTCTATATCATGAAGATAGAGCGCAGAGACGTGTCTTTTCATCGATCTTTTCACACACGAGTAGTATACATTCACCGTGCCAGGGTAGAACAATGTGGCGCGTATGCTAATGCAAAGCAAGATCGCATACTCAAGCATATTTATACGTTCTGGAACATGTCTGGTAAGACATAGGCAACAGATTTGCTTCGCACTGAAACCTAGCGGTATGGCGCGCCGATTGATACGAAGGAACTTAGCACGGCGTCTTCTTCGTCTGTCTTTATCACGACTAAGCGTTGTGCTGGTTGTCTCTTTATCGACGCTGTTACTATACCACAAAATACTCGCTAGCTTTTCATGCGCTACCGTACCTTTACCCTCTTGCTGTTAGACATGTCCTTGCATTAGAACGAGTTGCCACATGGGACTTGAACGGCAATCGTTTTGGCGCTGGTTGACACTATAGTTTGCTTACAGACGTAAGCCTTACTTGCATTGCACGACTGTCTTCTCGAGTCTCTTGAGTACGGCTTACTTCTATGCTATGACAGACATGCAAGCCTTGCGGAGAGACTGCTGCAGTTAACTCTTTCGCTACTTAAGAGTCTTCGAGCGCATAGCCTAACACTCCCTAGCAAAGGTGTTTAAGTACCTAGGTAGGTCTTCTACTTCACATTGTTTTCACTTATCACACATCTAGCGTCGGTAGTCAAAGTCTTTGACGCTGCTTCTATTCCTCAAAGACATCTTTATACCACTTCTACACGCTCCAGAATCACACTGCCTAGAATCACTTTGCCTTTACCTGGACAGAATTCCGTATGACGTGCCGTAGAGGTATTCGCGGTATCTTTCCTTAAGAAATCAGCACGATAGTAGACGATGTATACTTTATCACTGGTCGAACAGATTAACCTACAGCATTCTTACTGCTGTGCATGCTTCATCTCTAAGTATGCATTTTAGTTTGCACACTGGGTACTGGTTTGTATACGCTTGCCTTCGCAGTCCCATTGCGTTCAAAAGCAACACGTTTATTGTAGTCGTTAGATGCAACTTCTTACGATCCTCTCGATACTAGTCGAGAGCAATATCAGTCTTGGACATCTATCCGACGATACCCACTAGCTCATATATTCCATAGTCATCGCAACATCTTATTTATCCTGCAAGACCTTGTCTCGATCTATTGAAGAGCATTGCAGACTGGTAGATTATTCAAGAGCACGAAGTCAAGCTCTTTCCTACGGAGGTGGACATGTCTACGTCGTTGGAAGTGGATTGAGGGACTGATGCAACCTGGGTAAATAGGAAGAGCGGACATGTAGGCTTCTGAATTATGAACAAATACGCAACGAGGCTTTCCTTTGAGTCGGAATGGAGGGGCAATTACCTTGAGAGTGGGGCTTGTTCGTGAATACCCTCGCACGATGTCCGATACTATCCCCAAATCTTACTAGACCTCCCAACTTACCAAAACGAGCCTGAAAACCTGCTCTGTAACTCGATTGCCTTGCAATATTTACGAACGATTTTGTCGTCGATCCATCAAGAAGCTTGTGGTTTTACCTAGTTTCGCCAAAACCGGGCTTGTGGTTTAGTGGTATAATACTCCCTTAGCAGCAGGACTTCAAGCAAGTCCAACTGTGGGAGTGGTCCAGGGTTCGATTCCCTGCAAGTCCAGCTTTTTGCGCTCCTTGAGGTATAGGATGGGTCGTGGTTGTGGTGGTGAAGCTTTGGGAGGGGGGTGGTGGACATGGGATGAAAGCTTTTTTTTTGGCCGGATGTGGGGGCACCACGACACCACCCGACTTTTTGCACGGGTCTAGAACATCGAAATATCTTTCCGAGATTTCAGGGTCTACCTTAGGAACATGAACATGACTTTGCGAATGCTCTTCAATAGTGGTGCTGCACGCGTGGATGCATTTGATGTGTACGCTGGTTCGCATTGAAGTCGGCAGAGAGCACTTCGCAACACCATTTGAACCGAATCTCACCCCAACATCTTCAACCGATACCAGATCTCTAGATCTCTCGCTGACCACCTGTTCGTGCCTCGGCATCAATATTACATGCAGCCACGTGTGCGATCGTTCGGTTACTCAATCTTTCCACGCCAGGTTAGCTGCATATGCATCCCGAGATCTGCACGAGGCCTGTCAAGCGATGCTTCCCCTTCCAATGACGTCGAAGCCGACTTAGCTACCATGAACAGCAGTCCCAATCACGCGCGTATCTGCACTGTGCGTGAAATCAAGACCACATTGTTCCGGACCCCTACAGGAACACAAACCACGGCGACGCCGTCCCTGATTTCGCGCAAACACCAGACCCACCTTGAAGGCAAGAATGAACGGTGAAGCTAGACCTTATTTCGCTTAGACTAGCGGCAAGCACAACCCAGCCCGAACAGATATTTTCAGCAGTCGACTTTGTGCCCCTCGCTCTCTCTCTCCAACGATCCAACCCCCCAGCTTCCGATAATCAAACAATTGGTGGTGTGCGACTTTTGAACGACTATTTCAATACCTTTTTAGAAGACAATCATCTTCTAACGTCACTCCCTTACCCTTTCGATACTTCGGTAAGAACAAAGCCCGACATCACGGCATGGCGCGTGCGGACTACAGCTAACACTCACCAGTCTTCCAACTCTACAAAATGGATTACCAAGCACCTGCTCCCGCTGCCGGTGGCCGTGGCTGCTACAACTGTAAGTTGACTCTATACCCACGATGCGGTGACACGGTCCGAATGCGGCCCCGCTTTGTATATCAGATCGCGAGAGCGTCACGCCTCAGGGTCCAGCGACAGGTCCAGATCTGTATTCAAGCGCGGAGACCACCATGCCTGACTCGGAACTGCATCTTTGAACACGCGCTGACCATGTCCAGGCGGAGACTCCTCCCACCGCGCTGCCGAGTGCCCCACCAAGGGTACCCCAACCTGCTACAACTGCGGCGAGAAGGGCCACGTGAGCCGCGAGTGCACCTCTCCCCAGGCTGAGAAGACCTGCTACCGCTGCGGTGGCACCGGCCACATCTCGCGCGAGTGCACCAAGGACGGCGGTGCCCAGATGGGTGGCCGTGGCGCCCCCAGCCAAGAGTGCTACAAGTGCGGCCAGGTCGGTCACATTGCCCGCAACTGCTCCCAGGGCGGTGGCTACGGCGGTGCTGCTGGCGGCTACGGCGGCGGTCGTGGAGGCTACGGCGGTGGTGCCGGTGGCTACGGAGGTGCTCGCCAAACCACGTGTTATTCGTGCGGTGGTTTCGGTCACATGAGCCGTGACTGCACCCAGGGACAGAAGTGCTACAACTGTAAGTACACAGCGATGAACTTGGAAGAGCATGACTAACCTTTTTCAGGCGGCGAGGTTGGCCATCTGTCGCGCGACTGCCCCCAGGAGACTTCATCTGAGCGCGTGTGCTACCGCTGCAAGCAGCCCGGCCACGTCCAGAGCGCCTGCCCCCAGTAGGGTGTTCCAGATGCCGTCGATGTTTTGATCTGGAACGAGTTTGGAACTACCAAGTCGCTCTGATAGCATGAGCGACGTTGGAGATTGCGCCCACGATGTGACGAATCATCGACATGCTTACGATTTCTTTTCTTGTATATTTTCATTCAGCGGCTCGCTGCCGTTTTTCGACGCTTCACGAAAAGCACATCGTCGCCCGGGCATGATTGGACGGCCTTTTCCTGTTTTGGCTGTACGTCAAGAGAGTTGGTTATGGGAAAAAGTCTTGATCCAGG